TTATTTTTTTCATTCATCCCAACAAATTCTGCATCTTTATCAACATTTCTGTCAAACAAAATATCATCCTCATCCATATCATAGTCACTATCATTGAACTCCTCACATTATGAATCACTATCATCAACAGAAGCACACTCTTCATTTTGTTCATGTTGTTCAGATTGTACAGATTGTTCAGGATGTTCATGTTGTTCAGATTGTTCAGGATGTTCAGGTTGTTCAACATTAGAGTTCAGACTACCAAGAAATGAGAGGTCAATCACAGGATCACTTTCAACCTCAAGATTAGAGTAGTTGTTATCAACATGATGTACATGTTCTAAAACAATTCTCACTATTCTGTATTCAGGAATGGAGTTCATGACATTATATGCCAATTGATCACTATCAATAATATGACTACCATCTTGTAAACTAATTCCATGCACATGCCAGGCATTCACATGATCACTGTTATAACCTAGTTGTTCTATAAAATCCTTTAACTCAATCTACCCAAACATCTCCCCATCCACCCCATCAAAATAATCCAAATACCCACCTCGGTACTCTTTCACTGGAATATGCATCATTAAACCACCGTGCAGAAACTCAATTGTGAAGACAGTTGGTTCCAACAAAGGGTCTACAACACAGAAAAAAAAAAAAGAAAAATCAAATAAACAGAACTGAAAAATAGTATGCATAAACAGATAAACAGAACTGAAAAACCCCTAATTTGTTCAGTTCAGCTCATAATCGAAAAACCCCTAATTTGTTCAGCTGAAAAAACCCTAATTTTTAGGGCAAATCTCACAATAATCATACAATATGGAACTTTTCAAAATTAACCATATAATTCAAAAAATTAGTGACGAACTGAAGTGAAAAAACTTACCATATTCAGGTTGCAACCCACGTATAATCCTTCTCGCCATGGATTCAGATGGGTCGTCACAATAATCAGATAATATGCTCGTTGCAAATCAAAAGATGCTCGTCGCAAATCTGAAATGGAAGCTCACAATACACCAAAACACCAATCGATTGCCCACTTGAATGCGATAAATGAAAGAAATTTTTCTAAAGGTAAAATGTTAGGGTTTTTTCACAGCAATTAGGTCTGCTCGATTGTAAAAATTAGGGGAAACCGATTATTTAGGTTTCTTTGGGGAAAGCAACCGGCTAGCGAAGGTGGTGGTCAGTTGACTCACGGTCAACTGACGATTTGGGCAAAAATGATGGATTTTGAATACGTTAATGACGGAAAGTGATTAAGTTGAAACCACGGGTATCAAAACTGAAAAGTAGGTAAACTTTAGGTACCAAAAGTGAAATTTTCCCAAACGATTTATTTACTATTCATCTATTTATTTACTATCTATCCGCTCACATATTTTTAACTACTATCATTTCGAAACATTTTGAATCATTTATCTCTTACTTTTACATCAAATCAATTTTAATCATTTTATTTTAAATATTATTTTAATACATTTTTAAAATTCCACTAACAACTAACCATGCTACTTTTTTCAAAATTAACTATGATTAACCAAAATAACTCATTTTGAACAAATTATTTTTAACTTTGTTTTTTTTTAATTAATTTCCTTTATTTCTCACAGTTCATTTGCTTTAGTTGGTCAATTTAAAAATTAAAACTTAAATCAATTCTAATAAAAAATATTTATAATAATTGGTTTTAACATAAAAGTTGACAATTATCGTTTAATCAATTGGCCCAAAAATTTTGTTGTCTGCACCAATATTCCTTCGTGTTGCTATCGTGAAAACTTTAAGCCATTTGTTTTCGAAAATTACCAAATACAAAAATTAGAGGAGATAACGGTATTGTTTGGCAATTATCTAATAGATGAAGTTGATAATATTACTAGTTAGTTGATATTAGCTGATTTGACTATCTGATTGTATTAGCTGATTTGGCTAACTGATTCAATTAGTTGATTTTGACTATCGAATTCAATTAGTGGGTTTAAATAGCAGATATTTATTGTTAGTTGTTACGTTGTATAACCCTATTTTAGACCCCCTCTTCCCAAGCGGTGCTCTTTTGAACTTTTTCAAAAAGAACATTTTGGATCGAAAGCTTGTCACCAAACACGCTAAATAGCGGATTGAATTGGTCAAATCTCTAAATGAGGTCCAATCCGCGGATAAACAATTCCGATTTCTCTCAAATTCCAATCCCATCCCAGCCCAAATCCCATAAAATAGATTACTAAGGATGATTGTTTATGGATTCAACTAGTTTTTATTCAGTTTGTTTTTAACTATAATTATTTTTGGAAAAATGTGGTATGGATAGTTGTTAGTGGATATATTAAATTAATATTTAAATATAATAATTAAAGTTGATTTGATGTAAAGTATGAAAAAAGTGATTGAAAGTGATAGTTATTTAAAATTATGTGAATAAATGAATAATCAATTAAAGTTGATGTGATAGTGTAAGAATGATTGGTTGATATTATTTAATTATATTAATAATATAAGAAATAGTAAGGTTGGGTTAAAGTTGAGTTAAATTTGAGTTTTATTTAGTTTTTTTACTGTACAAATCATAAATAATCGCCCCCTTACAAGTGGCACCCAACATCATGAACCCAATACATAATACAATGTGCATAAATGAATTGACAGATCGAACATGTATGATTGCCTTAACAAAATGTACAAAAAACTACAATATAGACAAAATTATACAGACCAAAGCAAAGAACACTTAAACCACCCATCTACATATCCTTGATAAAGTCACCAGGTAGAGGTCACTACTCTGCACAGTATATATATGCTCCCATTTGCAGCATTCCACTGCTTAGACAACTTTAAGAA